ATGGGGCACATGCAGGAGGCAACCAACCCATGTACGCCACTCACATCGATGTTTCTCTCTCCCTTCCTCTCCCTCTCCTTCTGCCCTGCTTCCTTCTGCTCTCTCCAAAAATCCATGGGCAAAAACTCTTACACAGATACCAAATTAAAACTACAAAAAGGAAGGGCGATTTTGGCAAAGGAAACTTTAGTGTGAGTGCGTGTTTCAAGGAAACTGGCTTTTATTTCGATGGCGTGGGTTAGCCGAGTTCCTTTCAATAGCTGGGGGTTTGGGAAGTGCAAAGCTCATGTAACGTAACGTAATGTCATCTGTGTTTTCCACAAATCCCCATCGGTCCATTTACTTAAGAAACCCGTGCTTGCTGGCCGGCTGCCAGCATACCAAACCTGCCCAGCAGTGCATGCTTGAGTTTCTGTTACTAAATTAGGAAGCCAACGCAGGCAATGTCGGGGCCAGGAGGGAAGTGAAAAGATTCACCATCATCAGCCTACACGGCTTCTCAGAAGCAAGATCACAATAAGATATTTAATTTTAATTAGAAATGCCCACGCAATTTAGCCTAATAAGCAGCAGTGCGAAGAGATAATGAAATGAAGACAAAGGGGGAAATGAAAACATTTCACAAAAGCAGCCTTCTCAATAGCCTTCATCATCGTGCTGAGAAGACATTAACTCCCGCCGCTTGAGGCATAGCGTCTCAATGACGGATGCTGAAATACTGCCAGCTTTTTCCTGAAGAAGAAATGGGCAGGCATCCGTTCCCGTTTTTACTAAGAATCATGTGGTCTGGCCCCACAAGGCATTAAGGGTGAGTTAATTAAACATCTGACCAAATACAGCTGGCCGGTGTGGCTCAGTGGTTGAGCACCAATCTGTGAACCAGGAGGTCACGGTTTGACTCCCGGTCAGAGCACATGTCCAGTTAAGGGGCGTGCAGGAGGCAGCCGATCCTTGACTCTCTCTCATCACTGATGTTTCTATCCCCCTCCCTCTTCCTCTTTCTGAAATGAATAAAAACATTTAAAAAGGAGAACTAGGTTAAGTGATTAGAAATTATACTGGTTAGTGTAATGATCCCCATGGATCCCTTTGATATAAAGTCTTCCATTCCATTTTTACCTTCTTATTGCTACCATATATGCATAAACATATATATATATATACAGATGGAATGCCCCAAAAGAAAGAAAAATAAACTTTCTTTGGTGTTTAAAAAAAAAATAATGAAATTTGATTTTTTTTTTCTCTTAAAGAAATTTGGAAAAGAACAAAGTTGAAGGAATTACACAAGCTCACTTCAAAACTTCCTATAAAGCTACAGTAATCGAACCAATATGGTATTGCCATAAGGACAGACATAAAGACTAATGGAAACAGAACATTTGAAATAAACCCATATGTTCATGGTCAGTCAACTGATTTTCAACAAAGAAAAAATAGTCTTTCAACAGATTGTACTGGAAAAACTGAATATCCCATATCTAAAAATATCTAAACCCACCAAAACCGGTTTGATTCAGTGGATAGAGTGTAGGTCTGCAGACTGAAGGGTCCCAGGTTCGATTCCAGTCAAGGGCATGTACATTATTTGCGGGCACATCCCCAGTGGGGGGTGTGTAGGAGGTGGCTGTTCGATGTTTCTCTCATCAACGTTTCTCGCTCTCTCTCTCCCTTCCTCTCTGTAGAAAATCAATAAAATATATTTTAAAAAAAGAATTGTGAATGTTCAATAAAGCAAAAGCCTATAAAATTAATGCCACTTGGTCCCTAGGCCTCCATTTGCTAATGTAGCAGCTAAATTTTAACTTGATGGGCTGCGACATTCTTTCTACCACTAACATCCAACATAAGAGATTACGGTAACTCTGATGAGCTTGCTTTTACGAAGGGGATAATGACAGCATTGGATATCTGCTTTCTGTTTCTAAAAGGCATGACATAACAGAGTACGAGGGTTTACATTTTGTGTATATTACATAATGTTAATTTTCAAAAAGCGATAATAAAAAGTATTAAACCAAGAGCTGCGATGTCAATTATGTGTGGAGCGTGGAGAAGAACGTGGTAACAATCCATATCAAACTAACTTTTGTTTAATTACTTCTATTACATCAACCCTTGGCAAATCATAAAGCTTTTCATTCACTAAAACAATCATTAACTTCCAAATTACTTGCAGAATTATCTGATTTAAATTAAAACCTCTAACAGATGAAGCCATAATTTATAGATGAAGTAAGCACCAAGCCTGTTCCCATAACATATAAAAAAATAAATTTTTTACATATTGAAGACACTTTTTAACAAATAATTGTTTCAGCACATACACTTTATCCTACCTGTTCATTTTTCTTCACAATTATAGAGTTTGACATGAAACTAGAGTTTTCTGATCATGTCATAAGACAATACCTCTAAAATACCACAAGTTGATTTAGATCCAAGAATAAAATTAAATCTCTGAATTGTCAATAATAGGTTGTGTCTTAAAAACATTAAACCCAGGCATGTGCTCTGACCAAGAATCAAACTGGGACCTCCTGGTTCATAGGCTGATGCTCAACCACTGAGCCACACTGGCCAGGCAGTACTCTCTTTATGGTTCCCATACAGCACCACGCCTGTAACATACCATGGCGAAGGAAATTAACTGTATGCAGGAAGGAAACTTTCCTTATGAAGGCTCTGAGCACATGTCAAAAGGACTAATTACCAGTTGCATACTCTTCTGCAAAATGCACACCAGTGAGGGCACTCATGAACCCCGTGTAATGCATTCCTAGATCCTAATCTTAAAACCCTCTATAGCCACTAGGTATATTTCAAATGTTCCCAGCTTTTCAAATGTGCTCTAAAATTATAAATACTACTGATTACGATCTCATATTCAAAGTGTATTCAACCACAACAAATACACATAGTAAAATGTTAAGTCTTTCGAGGGGATATAACGCATAAGAAGTCTATACGGCCTGGCCGGCATGGCTCGGTGGTTGAGTGTCGCCCTATGAACCAGGAGGGCACGGTTCGATTCCCGGTCAGGGCACAGGCCTGCGTTGCAGGCTCGATCTCCAGTGTGGGGCGTGCAGGAGGCTGCCAATCCATGATTCTCATCATTGATGTTTCTCTCTCTCTCTCTCTCATTCTCCCTTCCTCTCTGAGATCAATAAAAATATATTCTTAAAAAAAAAAAGTCTACAGGCACTAGCATGGACTAGGCAGAAGGGAGATCACTCACACAGCCACATGTCAGTGGTCATCGAATGGAGACAACATGGCATCACTCACAGTCTTAAAAACTATAATTAAAATACATTTCCACAGTATGTGCCCAAACATAAACATTTGCAGAGGCATACCTAGCCCCTCACCCATTCACATTATAACATTGAAACTACCTCATAAAGAGAGAGATAAAGTGAGTCAGATAGTAAGACCTAGCCCACTGCTATTCACGATAGACTAGAAAGAGAAAAAAAAAAGTCTATGCATGGCTCAAAATACATTGCTATTACTGCATTTAATTTTACTCAAAACAAGCAAAAACAAACACAGACAACAGAAATAAGCTAAGGCGATAAAATCAGGGATAAATGCCTCCAACCGATTAAGCGCCAGGTGCGATATAAATAAAAAATTACATGAAAGGAGTCAGGAAACCTATGACCTTCACTGGTGAGGAGGAAGCCGTCAGCGCTATCGGCCGCACATCCTTCACCTCCGAGCGTATATAATGGGAGGAAATAGCCACATTCTACCACAAAGTGCCTTACGTTACAGGAAGAGAGAATAATAGAACACCAAGAACAATGGCTTAGCAGGGAATTCTGTTCTCATGTGCTACTGACACATACATAAAAAGGGCCGACAGGCAGTGTTCTATCCATCCATGCATTTTGATTCTACAATGTGTATCTTTATAAGTCCCATCCGGGAAAATTTAAAGATATCATTTTAATGACACATTTTTGAGGTGATCTCCAAAAGAGAATCTCATTTCCTGAATATCTGGATATGTGAACCTGACAAAGGTAGAATGATGGCATACCACTGAGCCTAATTATTGACAATAAAATCTAAAGGAGAGACCATATTCCTATACCATATTGAAAATCCTTATGTTAACTATAGCTTTGCATGTTTGGAGTAAAATGATATACAGTAATAGCAATGTATCTTGAATAGAAACTTTTGAAAAGACATCATATGAGGTTAAGAACTTATTTTTTAAACAGACTGACTGTTATACCAGGACCATTTTTTGTAAGCAATATTGAACCTCTATATTCAGCACATCAAGTCTCAAAACTAATCATGTACTGTGTATTCAAAAAGAAATTTATGTACTTGCAAAACTTTGGAGAAAGTACTTCTTAAATCATAAATAAATACTCTGACCAAATGTAGCAGGCTAGTTTTTAGGTTGATGACTGTGTATGGCCTGCGAAGGATGTTATAAATACCCACAAGGCCCTTGGCGGAAAAAAGGTTCCCCACCCTGGTTTATAGGTACGTCACAATCTAAAAGAATGTTCAGTAGGCAAAACTGAATTAATCCTAGGATCAAACTTAAATTGTGCTGCTGAATTCTTGTATGGTTTCTTAGTAAATCACAGTTAATGGACATCCGTTATCTCACTCGAGAATGAGAAAACCCTGTACAAATTTGCACTGTGCAAATTTCCCCAAAATTCTCTGATGAGAAATTCAGAGCTGAAGTAGCTTTTGTAAAAGTATTTCAGCAGAGCAGTGACCTGAAGACCAATGCTCAATTGTAGCTCAAAAACATAAATGCCCCCCCCCTTCTTAATGTTTGCATCTGGGAAAAGACTGTCATATTTCCCCCTCCCCCACATTGCTTAGCTACACAGTCCAACAAATGAACGATCAAATACTTACAAATCTTTCCAAAGCCCACCGCCTCGACACACAGGGAGACACGAGAATGAAAACAGACTTGTAAGAGAAAAGAGACTTGTGCCCCCGACTACTACGATTACCTGGAGGTAGGAATTGCAGCTGGTTGTTAGCTAACCGGAGATGACGCAAAGCTCTCAGGCGGCCAATCTCTGGGCAAACAATTTCTAAGGCATTGTCACTGAGATCCAAACACTGGAGTTTTATGAGCGATCCGATGGCTTCAAAGAGAAAAGGAGGGGAAAGGCTAAGTCCATTTGACCCAAGCGTCATGCCAGATCTTTAATGCAAGAACTCCACGGTACAATGGTTTCATACGAATTTCCTACATGTACTAGCATGGGCGAGGCAGAAGGGAGATCAGTAACACAGTCACATGTATAACCATCTCACAATGTACTACTAGAGTTGCTCCCAAAATAATAATAACATACATAGAACTAAATTTTAAGGAGGTGATAAGACCTCTACCTCTATATAAAATATGACTTCAAAAAAAGCGCACATCAACATTTTTAAAACAATGTAAAATACTGTTTGAATAAAAAAATAACTCATGAAACAGTATATAAGGATGTTTTCGATCTAAACGACATTCTTAAATGGATATACTGAATTTAGGACTTATCAATTTGTTATTTACCCAACAACAGTATACCTAAAAATAATTTATCCAATCATGATAGCCATTTTGGACTCTATTAATATCATTTAGTCCTAATTCTTAACTGGATTTACTAATTGGGGGAAGAATCTTTGAAATGAATAAATTAAAGATGCTTTATAGTTAAAATTCACTAATATACCGACCACAATGGGTTTAAAGAGACTGTCTGTTCTACTGTTAGAAAGGAAAGCTTAAGCTATAGTGTCTCCTGTCTAAAAGTTGGAAGTGTGCTCACTTACCTTCTGGAACCACAACTATGTTATTTGAATGAAGGTACCTGGGGAAATACCAAAAAAAAAAAGAAAAAAAAAGCTGTTGTCATTCAGAACTTATGCTACAGAATGGATCTGTAAAATGCTCACTTATAAATATATACCAAATATAAAGGACCAGACTTTCTTTAACACCCTATTCTAAGTACATAATACAAAATATATGGTCACCACAAATAATAATACTTTAAGATATTTAATGCTGGGATTGCAAATATTAAAACTATGTATTGATTTAATGCTGTTTTATTTTTTTAATATGCATTTTTTTTCCCCCACTGATTTTAAGAGAGTAGAAGAGGGGGAAAGACAGATAGAAATATCAGTGTTAGAGAAACATATCGATTGGTTGACTCCTGCATGAGTCCTTGACTGGAATCGAACCCAGGACCCTTTGATCCACAAGGCTGGCGCTCTATCCACTGAGCCAAACCCGCTAGGGCTTTGAGTGCTATTAATATTTTAAAATGAAATAAAAACACAAAAGACAAACTAGAGGTATTTTTTCAACCTCATAAAACAAACTAGTTTCCTACTTTGTTTTAAACTATTCAGATTCTCAAAGATACAGTTATCATGTAAAAAAGAGTCAGCACTTATTGTGAAAAGGGAAATGCAACTTTTCCTTTCTAAAGGATAACTTCCCAAAATAAGCAAACCAGAGGTAGTTCCAGTCAGCAAGCATGCTTACTGATAACCAAGAATTCTGGAGATTAAATTCTCATCATTTATCTGTAGAAATATTCAACTGTCAAAGTACAGAATGTATTTTACAGCAAAATGAATTTCATAAACAAGGATCAAATTCTTTTCTTAAAGAAAAAAAGTTCACCAAGGCTGACAACTCCAGGCGAGTGTCTGCAGCACCCTCTGGTGGAGATTTTATGCAGTCACAAGCAGCCCACTAACAGTAAAACAATAAGGACCACGGGAGATCATACAGTAATAATTTTTAAAATAAATTTATATAATTGATTTTGAGACAAGAAAACTAGACTTTGAAAAACTTTATTTTCAAACCTGTCCTTTTATTTCTTGTACTCACTAACCAATCTTCATAAAGTCTTTAAAAATAGATTTTCAAAATATTCTCCATTTTAAAGTCTAATAAGAATAAGATAGAAAGAAAATTAGCCCTAGCCAGTTTGGCACAGTGGACAGAGCGTCAGCCCGTGGATTGGAGGTCCCAGGTTCGATTCCAGTCAAGGGCATGTACCTTGGTGGCGGGCACATCCCCAATAGGGAGTGTGCAGGAGGCAGCTGATGGATGTTTCTCTCTCATCGATGTTTTTGGCACTCTATTCCTCTCCCTTCCTCTCTGTAAAAAAATCAATAAAATGTTAAAAAAAAAAAAAAGATAGAAAATTAATAAATTGAAGAAAATTATTCTATGCTGGACTAAATTAATTTTGAAATAGGTAGTAACCTGCTGGGTCTAACACAATTTAAGTAATTACACCATTCCATGATACATTTTATTCCTTATTTTGTGTACATAAAATGATTCCACATTTTATTTTTTCTTAAAAGTATATTTGTACTGATTTCAGAGAGGAAGGAGTAGAGAGAGAGAGCTAGAAATAGAAATATCAATGATGAGAGAAAAACATTGATCGGCTGCTTCCTGCAACCCCCTACTGGGGATCCAGCCCGCATCATTGATGTTTCTCTCCCTCTCCCTCTCCCTTCCTCTGAAATCAATAAAAACATATTAAAAAAAAAAGAAAAAAGAAAGAATCACTGTCGTTACAGGGGGTCAGAGAGCAGGCTCTGTGCCTTAGAACTATATGATCCGAGTGACTTAACCTCTAGCTTTCTCAGTCTATAGAAGCAGATGATAATGGCACCAATTAGAACACAGAGATATGGTAACAAATAAATGAATCAACATATGCGGAGCTCTCTGAATGGAGCTCAGTGAATGCTATTACTATTGTCGTGATGACTATTATTATATCTTGAGTCATTTGTCATTATATGCTTAGCAGTTGAAAGTCGAGAGAAGTTGAAATGGTGTTCTCGATATGACTAAGTATTCATCACGTTCAGAACACGGGGACTCTCTTTCATTGCTGGTGGGAACGCAAGCTAGCCCAGCCACTTTGGAAAATGGTGTGGCAGGGTTTTTTTTTTTTTAAATAAAAATTAAGTATAGACTTTACTTAATAGTAACATGCCAGTGTCAGGTTGTTTTTTGTTGTTGTTGTTGTTCTGACGCATGTATCGTGGAATTGGGAGATGTTAACAATGGGAGGAACTGGCTGAAAGGTAAACGGGGCCCGGCCAGGATGGCTCAGTGGTTCGATTCTTGGTCAGGGCACATGCCTGGGTTGTGGGCTCCATCCCCCGAGGGGGGGGGCGTACAGAAGGCAGCCGCTTGATGATTTTTCTCTCTCATTTCTATCGTTCTACCCATCTCCCTTTCTCTCTCAAAACCAATAAAAACCTTTTTTTTAAAAAATACTAATAAAATAAAAGCATGGAGGATGCAGGTAAGGAGGCTTTTACCATACATTTTAAATTATCTATAAACGTCTCACTGTTTATGTCAAGTATCACATGGAGTAGTAGTGACAATAATAAATGCTGCCAATTACATGGACTATCCAGAATGATTCTGGGACAAAGATGCTGCCCCCAGAGAAATGGTACTCTTCAGCATCTTCACCACCTTGAAGTGAGATGTTGAAAACACAAATTTAAATGGTTAAAACACGTTAAAAAGACTTTTGGGCTTAGCAGAACTACAGATCTACCATGCTCGTGTTGCTAAAAAAAGAAATACATGAAAATTGTATTTCCTAATATTTCAAATAACTTAAAATTATTTTCATCCCCGTTTTTAAAAAATTGAATAAACAGACTCACAGTTCCACCAGGTTTGGAAGCTTCTGAGCAAGGTTCTCCGGCTGAAAATTAAAAACTCAAAATTAAATTTTATTTTTTGAAAAGTGTACAGATATCTCTAAATAGCTTAAGCACAAACCATTATCTTCTTGAGGGCCCTGATCAGGGCGCATGCGGGAGTCAATGTATCTCTCTCACATTGATGTTTCTCTCCCTCTCTCTCCCCAGCCCTCCATCCCTTCCACTAAAATTAATCAATGGAAAAAATATTCTCGGGTGAGGGTTAGCAACCGCCACAACAAAAACAACAAAAATGACATTGTTAATGTCATTTTGGGATTCTGATCTATTCAAACATGTCCAAAAATCACCTAGGAAGCTTAACGCACATTAAAAAAAGGCCCAGGCACAGGCACAGGAACCGGCTAAGGGGAGAAGGGTTTTGAACGGGGGCAGTTTGGTAAGTGGCACGTTTGTGAATATTTTGCTTCACAGCTCCTCCTGTCCCCACCTAACTGCAGGGTCTCGAGTCATTCATTCTCCGCTCACGAGGACCCTCTGTGTGTGGGTCTATAGTTCCTGTTCACACAGTAAGAGAGGACACCCGTGTTCGTCTGACTGTCTTAAGATATGGAACGTGCCGAAACCGGTTTGGCTCAGTGGATAGAGTGTTGGTCTGCGGACTGAAAGGTCCCAGGTTCGATTCCGGTCAAGGGCATGTACCTGAGTTGCGGGCACATCCCCAATAGGGGGCATGCAAGAGGAAGCTGGCCGATGTTTCTCTCTCATTGAGGTTTCTAGCTCTCTATCTCTCTCTCTTCCTCTCTGTGAAAAATCAATGAAACATATTAAAAAAAAAAAAAAAAGATATGGAACGTGTACGTTGGTCAGGACCACGATCTAAATTATTATTATCATTATTATTTTTTAGAGAATGCAACAGAATACTGTACCAAGGTCGTGAGCGAGTTCCTTTTCATGTAGAGCCTCTCCAGGAACTGGAGCCCTTCTCCTTTCAGCAGCTCCATCGGGAAGTGGTCGAGATTCCTGTAGTTTAAGAACAGGTTCTTGTGCTTCTCCAGCCTCGCCACAGAGATGGTCTTGCAGAGCTCGGACGCCATGGCTGAGCAGATCCCATCCGGCACGCGGCAGCACTACATCCTGTCAGAGCCGGTCCATCTCTGAGGAGGGAGGAGGACAGGTGCAGAGTCAGAACCTGCCAACAGCATGGCTGGGTAAGCCAGTGAGCACAGGGAGCTACTGCAGATACGGATACGAAGGAGTTAACCGCCGAAACCGATGTGGCTCAGTGGATAGAGCATCGGCCTGCAGACGGAAGGGTCCCAGGTTTGATTCCAGCCAGTCAAGGGCATGTACCTTGGTTGCAGGCACATCCCCAGTAGGGGGTGTGCAAGAGGCAGCTGATCGATGATTCTCTCTCATCGATGTTTCTAACTCTCTCTTCCTCTCTGTAAAAAATCAATAAACTATGTTTTTTAAAAAGAGAGAGAGAGTTAACCAGTGAATCAATCCCCATATTTCGCTTTCATAACAACTCAACTTGTCATACACATTTAGAAGGAAATGAAATTAATAAACATTTAATAAAAATGCATTCCCTGCTTGGGAAATGTTTATCACCCAGTAGAAACAGTCCTAATTGAAAATAGATATCGGAATACTTAAAACAACAGAGACCGGTTTCATAATCGACAACCTAGAAAACAAGTTAAAAATCAAACATGGCAAATCCTTGTGTGTGTTTTTTTGTACCCAGCTTAAGGTATTTCAAGAATATTTAAATTTTAAAATAAAATATAGCTACATCAGCCTGGCCTGTCGAGGTTCAGTGGTTGAGTTTCGACCTACGAACCAGGAGGTCACGGTTCGATTCCCGGTCAGGGCACAGGCCCAGGTTGCAGGCTCCATCCCATTGTGGAGCGTGCGTGCAGGAGGCAGCCGATCCATGATTCTCTCTCCTTTCCTCTCTGACATCAATAATATATATATACACATCAACACTTAAGCTAAATTTAAAAAAAAAATAATGCAAGTAGTTTTTCAATACGTATTCATCGGCCACAGACCTCCTTTACCTGGGTATTTTTTTCTTACACAAATTCCCTTCACTACCTCTGACCTACAGACAAGGGGCATAGGTAATACTTTCAACAATAAAGATTTTTTTAAAAATAGATAGAGAGCCCTAGCTGGTTTGGCTCAGTGGATCTAGTTTCGGCCTGGGGACTCAAGGGTCCCAGGTTCGAATCCCGTCAAGGGCATGTACCTTAGTTGGGGACACATCCCCAGTTGGGGGTGTGCAGGAGGCAGCTGATCAATGATATCTCTCTCTCATCATGTTTCTAACTCTCTATCCTCTCTCTTCCTCTGTAAAAAAAAATCAATAAAATATATATATATTTTTAAAAAATATATATATAGAGAGAGATACTGGTATAGCAAATAAAAGGAACATAAAAAGGGAGCGACAGGCTCCGTATTCACTGCACACAACCGCACCTCCGCACGGGTTTTCTTGACAGGTCAGCACCACCCCACGTTAGTGCGTGTGGTATTTGTCTTGTTTTGTGTTTTTGTTTTTGTTTTGTTTTTTTTCTTAAAGAAACAAAACCTTCCATTTTAAGCCTATTTCACCCATTGGAGACAGGGGTAGAGGTAGGTGCCTTCCAGGAAAGGAAGGAGCCCCCGAGACTGGCTTCGTTCCTGGCTTCAGAAGTGCCACTCCGACTCCCTCACCCTGCACCCTGGAGCCCAGAAAACGGTCCAGGACAAGCATCTGTCAAAGGCTATTTCCTCCGAAGGCCCGACAGGTGCTCCGCAGACCCAGGTCCCGGACCCCCAGGGGCTCGGAGGGCCCGGCGGCGGCGGTGGGGACCCGAGGCCCCCCGCCCCCCGCAGGGCCCGCTCGCCCCGCGCGGTCCACCCCCCGCGGCCCTGTCCACCCGTCACCGGACCCAGCCTGCGAGGCGGAGGCCGGGACAGGAGGCCTCGCCACTCCGGTCCCCGCAGACTCGGGGCGCCACACTCACCTGGGCGCCGCCGGCTGAGGGGGGACAGCAACCGCGGGGCGCCGGGCGGGGCGGGGCGCCGGGCAAGGGGCGGGGCTAGGCGGTGAGGGGCGGGGCGGAACCTCCCCTTCCGAGAACGGGGAAAGCGGGAATGGCGCCGAGGACGGAGTCTCGCGATAATTGCCCCCCCAGTTCTCGCGGTTTCACCAAAGGTCAAACGAGACGCTCTTGTGTGTGTGTGTTTTTTTTCCAAGCCGTGTGGCCATTGGTCGAGAGCATAGCTTCCGGCATACTGGCCCCGCCCACCTCCGGCCCTCGCTTCCGCTTCCGGCCCCGGCTCTGGGCTGGCTGTCAGGAAGGTGTAGCTTTTTGCTTTTTGCAAAGGTGAAGGTGTGATTTATCCGGGCTCCCACCTCCGAGGCCGCCGGGAACGACTCGGCGCTGTCATTCGTGCACCCGTCCAGGCATACGTGCACGCGCTGAATGTGTACGTGGAGGGAATTTACAACAATAATCGATGCCGAGCGTTTGTTGGGTTCCAGGCGGCGTGCATAGCTCACCTCTTTTCACTCGCTCAGCAATCCCATGGCACAGGTACCGTTATTATACTCCTTGGACGAACGGAAAACGGAGGCTTGGGAGGGTTTGAAGGGCGTTCCCGCCAAAGAGGAGGCGGTCACCTGGTCTCTGAAATACCTGTTGTGAGGAAGGGTCGCTGGAAAAGACAATGACAACTGAGTCATTTAAATACTGAGGCGGCTCCTAGCGTGACTGAATAGGCCATGAATGAATACTCCTATTTCAGGGAATAAAGACATCAAAGGAAGAGAGCTTTGTGTGGGTTAAAAAAAGGAAAAAAGAAAAGTCCAAGAATTCTTAGGGAAGTTTTTGTGTGTGTGTGTGTGTGTGTGTGTGTGTGTGTGTGTGTTTAATATATTTTATTGATTTTTCACAGAGAGGAAGGGAGAATGATAGACGGAAACATCGATGAGAGAGAAACATCGATCAGCTGCCTCCTCCACACCCCCTACTGGGGATGTGCTCGAAAACAAGGTACACGCCCTTAACCGGAATCGAACCTGGGACCCTTCAGTCCGCAGGTCGACACTCTATCCACTGAGCCAAACCGGATAGGGCCTTAGGGAAGTTTTAAAAAAAAACACCAAAAACTAATTTTAAATACCTTATTTGGTAACATGGCCACTTTTTCTTTTATTTTTTTTAAATATATTTTTATTGCTTTCAGAGAGGCAGGGAGAGGGAAAGAGAGAGAGAAAAAACAAACAAACATCAATGATGAGAGAGAATCATCGATTGGCTGCCTCTTGCATGACCCCAACCTGGTCATAGAGTTCATCACCCTGGCATGTACCCTGATCGGGAATCCAGCCGTGACCTGGTTCATCGGTCAGCGCTCAACCACTGAGCCATGTAGGCTGAGTGAGAATGCTCCTGTTTTCAAAGAGGTCATGAATATGGTATTGAAATCTTCCTGGAGCCTCACGTTTCTAGGGGAAAAGTTGACATGAAAAAGATCCCCTAACACCTCTCTTTTTCTATTTTATTTTATTTAAAAACCAGAGGATAATGACTGTAAGAATATGGAAGAATCACAGGAAACCCACATATCCAAGTACTTAGATGAAATCGTGGCTGCCGTCAGCATCACGCCGAGAAGGAAGTTGGCCAACAGGCTGCCTCAGACGGTTCTCTTCCAGCCTCCCCAAGAGAAACTCCAGCTCAGTGAAGAGAAAGCAAAGTTCTACTCCAGCCGACATGAGGTGAGGAGCCTTCTCGCTCCATCCCTGTATTCAGGTCATTGAGAAGGGCAATAGCTTAGGGTATGTTCCCAGGAAAAAGTGTATGTATGTATACCATGGAATATTATTCAGCCATAAAAAGAAGGAAATTCCGCCCTGGCCAGTGTGGCTAAGTGGTTGAACGTCGACCTGTGAGCAAGGAGGTCCCTCTTTGATTCTTCTTCAGTGCACATGCCTGGGTTGTGGGCTGGATCCCCAGTAGGGGGCATGCAGGAGGCAGCCGACTGATGATTATCTCTTACTAGAGGACCGATGCACGAAATTCGTGCAAGGGGCTCTGCCCTCACAGCCACAGCAGCTTGCGTTGGCCCTCGCAGCCCCAGCTTTGTCTGGAAGGTCATCCGGAAGGATTCCAGAAGGGCGTCCAGAGGGTCATTTGGCTCTGGTCTAATTAGCATATTACACTTTAATTATTATAGGCTAGAGGCCTGGTGCACAGATTCATGCACCAGTGGGATTGGGCCGAACCCGGCTCTCCAATAATCCCCTGAGGGGTCCCGGGTTGCGTGAGGGCACTGTGCACTGGGCTTCTAGGACCAACCTTTAGGACCCCATTGGCCACCACTGGTCCATGGACCACCAGTTGATGACTGCTGCTCTAATATGCATATAAGATCTTTGGTTAATCTCTTCCTGCCCTCCCCCATCCCACCTTCCCTCTGAGATTCATCAGTCTGTTCCATGTTTCCACACCTGTGATTTCCTCTCCTGTGGTAAGCATCTGCCCCCTGGTGGTCAGTGTGCATCATAGCTACTTTCGGTCCCAGTCGGCCAGTCACTTAGGCTTTTATATACCGTATTTTTCGGACCATAAGACACTCCGGACCATAAGACGCACCAGTTTTTAGAGAAGGGAAATGAAGAAAAAAAGATTCTGAAACAAATAGTGTCCTAAAATATTTTATGTGCATTAAAACCCAACATCACAGTCATAAACACATGTAATCAACCCTGTAAAGTAAACAGCAGCATTTAGAACCATTTTAGAGCCAGGCGAGCACACAGAGACCACACAGAGCCGGGCAAGTAAAAAAACTTTTTTTTTTAAAGTATATGTGTAGGCTATATTTGGACCATAAGACGCAGGGACTTTCCCCCCCCACTTCTGGGGGGGAAAAAAGTGCGTCTTATGGTCCGAAAAATACGGTATATAGATTGATGTTTCTATCTCTCTCTCCCTCTTCATTCCTCTCTGCAATCAATAAAAATATATTTTTAAAAAATATATATATATTTTTTAACGGTAAGCCTGTTTTCTTTTCCTTACAGCATAAGCAGGCGATCCAGGAGCTCGTACGCTGCGTAGCGTTGACCAGGATCTGCTATGGCAGCTGCCATTGGAAACTAGCAGAGGCGTACGTTAATCTGGCTCGAGGCTACCTTCAGCTGAAAGGTGAGCTCAGCTCAGACCCAGGAGGCTCTGTTGGTTGGATTTTGCTTTCTCCCCCACCCCCCAAATTGGACTAACATGCAAATGCAGGGATGAAATTATCCTGATCCTTCTCCTCTGCACACATTGAGAAGCCATCTCCCATCACAAAGAGTCAATAAGATTTTTTTAAATATATAATATATAAAAAAAAGAGAGGGAAGATTTGGGCCCTTAGAGTTTTGTCTTTTAGGGTCTTAAAAGTAGGGTTCTTGGGCCGGGCTGGCGTGGCTCAGTGGTTGAGCGTCGACCTATGAACCAGGAGGTCACGGTTCGATTCCCAGTCAGGGCACACGCCCGGGTTGCAGGCTCGATCCCCAGTGTGGAGCGTGTAGGAGGCAGCCGATCCATGACTCTCCCTCATCTTTGATGTTTCTATCCCTCTCCCTTTCTCTCTGAAATCAATAAAAATACATTTTAGAAAAGTGGATAAATAAGAAGACCATTCTCAGGGAGAAATGATCTTATCTTGACGATAGCGGGGAGGGAGGGATTCCATCTTCAGTACTAGGTATAAAACACTTGGTTGCTATAGTTATGATAGTATTTCCCGCTGCCCCGGTACCTCTCCCCTTGAGAGTGAGTAGGTCAAGGAGACCTCATTGGATTCCCTGACCATAAGTGACTGACTATATTCTTGCCCACTGAGATGACGGAGACATTGAGACTTCCTCTTCCCTGTCGCCAGGACTGTCCCTGCAGGCCAAACACCACGCAGAGACAGCCAGAGAAGTCCTCACCAGCTCCATCGGGCCGCCCTATGAGGACAACACGGATGTGTTCAGGTGTTCCATCGAGCTGTTTCACACCCTGGGGAGTGCCCTCCTTGCCCTTCAGAAGTATCCTTTTGGCCCTTGTCGGTGTGGCTCCATGGGTAGAGCATTGGCCTGCAGACTGAAGGGTCCCGGGTTGGATTCTGGTCAAGGCCATGTACCTTGGATGCAGGCTTGATTCCCGGCCACGGTTGGAGCTTGTGAGGGAGGCAACTGATCGATGTGTCTCTCTCACATCAATGTTTCTATCTCCCCCCACTCCCCTTCACTCTCTTAAAAAACAAACAAACAAAAAAATTAATGGGAAATATCCTGGGTTGAGGATTAACAACAATAACAAAAGTATCCGTTGGCCTCTACTTACAAAGAGACATTCTGTTCATGTTCTTTATATTTAACTAGAGGCCCAGTGCACAAAATTCATGCAAGGTTAGGGTCCCTCGTGGCTGCCAGCTGGGACCTCACTTCCCCCTGCTGCCTGCTGCCACCACCGCCAGCTGGGGTCTTCCTTCCTGCGGTTGGCCAGCCTGGCGCTCCCCCCCCCCCCCCCCGTGGAGGGGACAATTTGCATATTATTTGCATATTAGGATTTTATTATATAAGATTCTCAAAGCAGACAGATGGCCCGGGAAGGGTGACGGGAAGTGTATAGGGAGCCCGGGATGTCCAGGAACTCGGGTCCCGGAATCCAGAACCTAGGGCCATGTTTTCCTGAACGCGGCTCAGATTTAAGGAGGCCGCAGAGAACTTGGCGAAAGCAGAGAGGCTCTCGAAGGAGCTGCTGCGATGTGGGAGGATCACAAAGGAGGAGTGGATAGAAACCCAAGCTCGGATCAAACTGTCATTCGCACGGTAAGTGCAGGACTTTTCATAAGCATGGCCGCTGGCGGTTCTTTGCCGGAAGACTCTGCCTCCAGGCAGGAAGTTTCTTGTTTTTTTTTATTTTTATTTTTTATTTATTTATTTTTAAATATATTTTATTGATTTTTTACAGAGAGGAAGAGAGAGGGATAGAGAGTTAGAGACATCGATGAGAGAGAATCATCGATCAGCTGCCTCCTGCCCCCTGGTGGGGATGTGCCTACAACCAAGGTACATGCCCTTGACCGGAATCGAACCTGGGACCCTTGAGTCCGCAGGCCGACGCTCTATCCACTGAGCCAAACCGGTTTCGGCAGTTTCTTGTTTTTTAAATCTGCCTTTATTGCTTTCAGAGAGGAAGGGAGAGTGAGTGAGAGAGAAACATCAATGATGAGAGAGATTCATGGATCTTGGCTGCCTCCTGCACATCCCCTTCAGTTTTTAGTATCTATAATTTATTGTATAAATTACCCTTTAAGCCAACGATGATTCAAGTGACCTGTGTTTTCGTTGGAAGATATATGAGATTTTTTTTTCTTCAGGATGTTTGGGTGCTATTCCTGTCTAATTTTATGGTACTATAGACAAACATATTTGTATGGTATGGACCCTGCAGTTTTTTACTGAAGCTTCCTTTGGGATCTAGTCCACAGCCAAGTTTCCAGAAGGTTCCCAGGGAGCTTTTTGTCGTGTGTAAGGTTGCAATAAGTCTGCCTTAGGGTAACTCGGATTTATATTTTTGTTTATCTTTTGCGACTCTGATGTATTAATTTTGAAAGATAAGAGCATTTGAATTTTGATGCACCATTGTTGGGCTGTTTAGCGCTGTCCATGGTTCTGCCGGCCATTGTTTTATGTCGTCTGATATATTCTGTTGGGTGGGAGGTTAAAACAGCAGCATATCTTCTTTATTATTTTTAATTTTTATTTACTGAGAGAGAGAGAGATTGGTGAATTTCAGAGGGAAGGTGGGTGGATGGGGAGAGACTATCCGGGAACTTACATGCATACATATATATGCATAACCCGTGGACGCAGACAATAGTGCGGTGAAGGCCTGCGAAGGGCGGGGCCAGGGTGGATGGGGAGGTCAGTGGCGGAAAAAAGGGGGGACATCTGTAATACTTTCGACAATAAAGGTAAATTTAAAACATCAAAATTATTAAAAATTATTAAATAATAAAAAAAAATAAGTTGATGGTTACCTCTGACAAGAAGGTCTAGTAGATAAAAGTGTGACATGTTCATCAGAGAGAATGGTCAGCGTGTTCCTATGGTTGACATCCTGAGTCACTCTCACAAGCAGTGCTTGTGAAAGAAATCAGACTCCCACAGAACTCATCATGCCTCTGATCCCACGGATGTAACAGGAGATGGTAGTGATTGCAAAAGGCTATACTACTAATCCAGAATTGCTCCCTGCCCGGAAGTAGCCATCCTATCGTGCATTGTAAGACAGGACGCATGCACATCAGAGGCCCCGGATCTGATGTTTGTTGCCATCTGTTGAGATGTGACTGAATGTCATTTGTGCTTACTATTGAACAACGTTGCTGCAAAGTTCAAGTTAAATGCCTGCCTTCCTCTACCCAGAATCCCGCACCACCTCTGGGAGTGCTTTCCAGACTAGCAGTGCCGAATCTCGCCAGCAGGTGGCGGGCCTCGTCCAAGTCTGTCCTGAATGCCTAACAAATGAGTCCCCTTTCTCAGCTGTCCTCCAGTTACCTTGCATTTCGGGGAGTTGTTTTAAACTTCGCTACTTCTTTTCCCATCCCCGAGTCTTCTCCTTGACCCAATTACTGGAACTCGCATGTTTCAACTGAAGGTTTCCATGCAGTCCCTCTCGGCTTTGTTTCCTGGCTGACGTGTGAATGTTCTGCCCAATCTGATCTGCTCCAGTAAGCAACGAGGCTTTGCCCTGGCCGGCCGGTGTGGCTCAGTGGTTGGAGCGTTGGCCCGTGCACCGAAGGGTCATGGGTTCCTTTCCCATCGAGGGCACGCACCTTGACGGCTGCAGGTTTGATCCCCGTGCGGGAGGCAGCCAGCCAATCGATGTGTCTCTCTCACATCGGTGTTTCTGTGTCTCTGTGTTCTTCCCTCCCTCTGGTCCTCCACTTTCTATAAAAATCAACAGAAAAAAATATCCCCGGGTGCAGATAAAACAAACAAAAAAGAAGGCTTTGGTTTTGTGCATGTCTGTAGTCACAGTCACAGCCATCAGGGCCAGGCCGTGGAGGCAGAAGGCCGGGGTGATCCCTCGGGCAGCTCTCATGGGATTTGTGTTTCTCTTAAAAGGGTATCTCTTAGGTGCATCCACCTCTTCCATCAGCCTCGCCTTTTATGGTGCCCATCGGGCCAGGCCAGCTCTCGCCTCCTCGGGCAGGCAGATGCGGGCTGCAGAGTGACTCATGCTCCCAGCCTCCCCTCCCTCCCTGGGGCCCTCAGCACCCGTCCCTGGTACCTGTCCGCCTCCGTCCCGGCACCATTCCATCCAGTCATGCTTACTCACTTTGGAAGGGAGGGGGAGAGACAAAATGGATTGAATGGTTCCTTCTCCTTCTCACCACCACGAGAGTAAAACTTGTAAATCGCCTCCAAACTTTGCCTCTTGGAAGCCCCGTTCCCCTGACCCCTCACCCCGTCCCCCTGACCCCTCTGCTGCGAGTCTCTCTGGGCACACGCACAGCGTCATCTCTGAGGTGTGTGCCCAGAGTGGGACTGCGGTATGAGAGCCCGGCCAGCGTGGCTCTGTGGTTTGTGTGTTAACCTAGGAACCAGGAGGTCACGGTTCGATTCCCAGTCGGGGCTCCATCCCCAGTGTGGGGCGTGCAGAAGGCAGCCGATCCATGATTCTCTGTCATCATCGATTCTCTCTCCCTCTCCCTTCCTCTCTGAAATCAATAATAAAAAATAAATAAATAAATAAATAAATAAGCAAAACCAAGATACAGTATGAGAGATGTTTTCTGAGCAGAGGGATTCCCAGTTCTGGGGAAGCACAGTCAGTGTTCACGAAGGCACCCCGCTCAGTCCGGGAGGTCAGAGCAGAGCCAGGACCGAGCTGAGCAAGCCCGGGGCCCAGGACACGCACACCATTTAAGGAGCCTTGGAAGCCGGAGGCCGATCCTCGCCTCCCTCGCCACATGCTTCATCCTTTATGAGCGTGCGAGGAAGAAGGTGATCTTTTTTTTTTCTCTCCTTCCTTCACTCAAATATCTGTGGTATTGTCCGGGTTCCCGAGGCTCCATCCGGTGGAAAGAATCTGCAGTCATTATGAAACTATGCGACTTGCTCTAGATTCTGGCCCAGAGGCTGGCACACTGTGTCTGTCAAGTGGGGGGTGGGGCCTTTTTTTTTTTTTTTCTGCCATGGGCCATTTGGATAGTTAAAGCCGTATAAAAATTATCAGCTTAAAAATTAGCCTGCTCTGTTTGGCCAAGCATTTAATTAGCTCACCCGTAATGCCGTGGCAGGGCCAGACCCAATGATTTCAGGGGCCTTATATGGGCCGTTCCCCACCCCTGCTGTAAAGGCCCAGGCAGTTAAGTATTTTATGCAAAAGCAGCACTGGACAATATGTAAACAAGCGGGCGTGGCTGTGTGCCAATAAAACTTTATGTGTAAAAACAGTGCATTGGACCCTAAGGCTGTCGTTTGCTGACTGCTGTGTTCCGTTACGTAACCTTTATGTAACCTTATTCCTCGGCAAAGGGATAGGTTAACAGCCCTGTGTTTCAAAGCCGGTCTTCTCTTCAGAAATGAAATACGAAGTCCAGTTATTATATTCTAAGCTGCTTTAAAAAGAAAAATATTTTGATTGATTTCAGAGAAGAAGGAAGAGGGAGAGAGAAAGAAGCATCAGTGATGAGCGAGAATCATGGATCTGCTGCCTCCTGCACGCCCTCTTTCCCCCACCACCGCCCCCCTCCGTCCCCCTCTGGTGATCCAGCCCACAATCTGGGTATGTGCCCTGACCAGGAATCCAAATGGCAGCAACCAACCCACTGAGCCACACCCGCCAGGGCTCAGTGTCTCTTTGTGCGCTTGTGTGCATATAGATTAGACACAAAGCTTTCCTAGAGCACGCAAAGTTATTTTTGTAATTTGCTTTTTCGCTTGGAATGTGTAGTGGCTGTGCTTCTTCCATAGGGGTCAATATGGATCGACATTACCTCTAATGGCTAAGTGGCCTTCCGCGGTGTGTGGATGTGCTTACGGTAACCTGCTTGGACAATTGCCTGTCGGTGCAATTTAAGGGCTTTCTTTGTTCTTTTCCGTATCACAGAGAATGCTTAGGGAAGCATTCTGACCTGGAGATCTTCTTGTCTTGCCAGAGTACCTCTTCCAGGTAAATTACTATTTTTGGGCCCTCCCCAGGCCAGCGTGGCTCCGTGGTTGAGCATCAGCCTATGAACCAGGAGGTCGAGGTCCGAGTCCCAGTCAAGCCATATGCGTGGGTTGAGGGCTCGATCCCCAGTGAGGGGCGCGCAGGAGGCAGCCGATCCATGATTCTCATCATTGATGCTTCTCTCTCTCTCCCTCTCTCTTCCTCTCTGAAGCCCATTAAAAAAAAATGTTTTTTTTTTTTGGCCAAAACCGGTTTGGCTCAGTGGATAGAGCGTCGGCCTACAGACTGAAGGGTCCCAGGTTCGATTCCGGTCAAGGGCATGTACCTTGGTTGCAGGCACATCTCCAGTAGGGGGTGTGCAAGAGGCAGCTGATGGATGATTCTCTCTCATCGATGTTTCTAACTCTCTATCCCTCTCTCTTCCTCTCTGTAAAAAAAATCAATAAAATATATTTAATTAATTTTTTTTTTTTTTTTTAAGTCCCAGCTGGCTAGGAAACGAACCTGAATAACAGGGGTCTGAGAGCCAAACCCTCAGCCCCCAGACCGCCTGTGCTCCCAGCATTTCCCCTGGTGATTATCCTAAAAGCCGTCCCTCTGACGTTGCAGGATGTATCAGGGCCAGAGGAAATGGGAGGAGGCCCTGCCCCACTACCAAGAGGCTCTGGAGCACACGGAGAGCAGCCAAGGGGAGAAGAGTCTGGAGTGCGTGCCGGTGCTGCGGGCGCTGGCGGACGCCGAGCGGGCCCTGCGGCTGCACAGCGCGTCCCTCAACCACTTCCTGCAGGTGAGCTGCGCACGCGCTGGCTGCAGGGCCGCTCCAGGCCCAGCGCCTTTTCCTCTTTGATGCGTTTCTATTCATTTCGTATTTTCTCTTTAGTATGTTTTATGTGTTTTTTTTTCTCAATATGTTTTGTTGATTCTACACAGAGAGGGACAGAGAGTTAGAAACATCGATGAGAGAGAGAATCATCCATCAGCTGCCTCTTGCACACCCCCTACTGGGGATGTGCCCGCAACCAAGGCACATGCCCTTGACCGGAATCGAACCCGGGACCCTTGAGTCCGCAGGCCGACACTCTATCCACTGAGCCAAACCGGTCCCGGCTTTAGTATGTTTTTATTGATTTCATATCAGGGGGAGGGAGAGGGAGGGAGAGAGAGACGTCAATGGTGAGAGGGAATCATGGGGACGTCCCCCAAGACAGAAAGGCCCAGTGCGGCCACAGCTCTGGGAGGGAACCGGTGCCTCCGAGCCACGTGTCAGCCGCCGCACACAGAGAAAAGGGAGTTTATGGCCTCCCGTCCCGTCTCTCTCTCCCCGCATTCCTTCGCGGTGACCAGCGCCCAGAGAGAAAAGAAAAGGCCTTTCCTTTTCTGAAAGGAACATGGAACATTCAGGAAGCGTCTTTCATGCAAGTGGAGATAAATAGAGCCAGCCCCGCCGAGCCACCGCGGGTGGAATCGAACGCTGACCTCCCTGTTCATAGGTCAGCGCTCAGCCACTGAGCCACGCGGGTGGGCGCCTGTCAGAGACACGGAAACAGAGGGCAGCAGGGGTCTATCCGGAGTCAGAAGAGAGAGTGTGGCTTACGGACGGCAGGGACGGGCATTAAAGTTGTTTATTCCTTCCTACCACTTAGGGGTTTTTTTTGTGTGTGTTTTTGTTTTAATGTATTTTATTGATTTTTTTACAGAGAGGAAGGGAGAGGGATAGAGAGTTAGAAACATCGACGAGAGAGAGAAACATCCATCAGCTGCCTCCTGCACACCCCCTACTGGGGATGTGCCCGAGACCAAGGTCCATGCCCTTGACTGGAATCGAACCTGGGACCCTTCAGTCTGCAGGCCGACGCTCCATTCATCCACTGAGCCTGTTAGGGCACCACTTAGGGTTTTGAAAGTGACAGGCAGGAATTAGCGTTCCTATCTAAAAGCCTAGTTAGGTGTTAAGAGAATGAACGCCTGCTTGCAACCAAACCTGGACAGAAAACGCAAGCCCCCGGCGCGTCTATTTTGGGGCTAGCCCTCAGCGGGGTGGGGGAGGGCCTTCTCTCGCCAGCCAGCCCTCTGGAGGAGCTAAAATTGACCCGTGGAGAGCTGCCACGGAGGACTCTCTCCGACTATTAAAAGCAACCGGCTCAGGCCGGGGCCCCGAGAGCCTGGTTTGCCACGGCCACGGCCACGGGCACCCGGGGACTTCCCTCCCAGCCACTGCTCCGGGGATTCCCAGCTCCCTCTTGCTCTTAGCCGAGATCCCCCTCTCCCCCATCCTTCCACTTCCTGCTGCCCCCTGTGGTGTGCACGGCCCTGAAAAGCTTCCCTGCAGTGAACCCAGGGCAGGATCATAAACGTGACTCCGTTGCCATGGGGAGCAGGGCAGACTCGCCGCTCGCTCTCTTCCTCTCCCAGACACTGACCACGAGACCCCTTGCTCCATCCCTGCGGCTCCTGCTGTTCTTCACTTACAGGGCGCTGCCTTCCGGGCCGCCTGCTGTTTGAAAAGCGTCTCCAGTCGGCCCTTCAGGCCAGATTGGGGGGGCGGAGAGAAAGGGGGATGACTAATCGGGGCGTTGCCAAGACCCCTTTCTTGTATTTGTCTCTGTCCTTGAACAACAAAAGTAGTTCCAGAACAAGGGATGTCGTTAGCATTTGAGGATACGACATCCTGACGGTTCTATTAATAACACAGCCAGGAGGGTCACGACCAGCCACCTTGACGTGGAGCAGCCCCCGTCATAAAACGTCTAGAGCCCCCGGCCCGCGGGGCACAGCAACGTGGGGAGAGGGTGGACCTGTGGAGGATGAAAAGAAGGGGCAGGGGCACGGAGAAATGGAGGCAAGACAAAGTTCTGATCAAGCCTCAAACTTTATTTTTGGAACGGCAGTATATACACAGCAGGAACAAAGGGGAGCAGGGTTGCCTATGCAGCGGGGTCTTTGACAGTGTATAGTTGGTTTAGGCACTGAGTGACAAGGTGGTAAGGCATCTGGCAACACAGGATTGGCTAACTGCCGGGCGGTGTAACATTCCAAGGCCGGGCTAGCTATGGGGGAGGATCAGGAAGGGGCCGTTGCAGAGATCCTCCGGAGCAAGACGTGCTACGCGGCAGGTTAATCTTGAGCTTCTGGCCAAACCCGCAGGGCACCGCATAACTTCTGCTAGAAGGAACTTAATTCTAAGATGGAGTTGTATTTTCTTAAGACAGAGTTGCTTGTCTCAACTCTGATGGCTCCCAACATAGAGCTACCGCCCACCGCTGCCCAGCAGGTGTGGCTCAGCGGTTGAGTATTGACCAGAGCCAGGAGGTCACGGTTCGATTCCCGGTCAGGGCGCATGTCCGGGTGGCAGGGCTCAGTCCGCAGTGGGGGGTGTCCAGGAGGCAGCCAATGCATGGTTCTCTCTCATCGTTGATGTTTCTCTCTCTCTTTCTCTCTCTCTCTCTCTCTCTCTCTCTCTCTCTCTCTCTCTCTCTCTCTCTCTCTCCCCCTTCTCTCTCCTTCTCTGAAATCAATAAAAATATGTTTTGTTTTGTTTTAAGTGTGTGTGTGTGTATATATATATATATATATATATCTATAAAGTGTGCAGCTCAAATATCAGTGGTTCACCTGTTTGGCCCAGTGTTTCTCTCCTTGAAACGCGCGGGGTTTGGGTCTCTGTGTTCTGGCGATGTGTCCGGCGCTACCTGCCCGCTCACGAGAGTGCCCTGTGTGACTCGGCGTTTCCTGTCTGTGTCCTCCCGCACCGCCCCGCTTTCTGGCCCACGTGTGTCCAGTAGCAGGCCACCTGTAAGTACCTGTGTATCGGATGAAATGCACACGTGTTACTCACAGGCATTTGTAACCCTCCCCACACCCCTGCTGATAGGCAGGCGAGAAGTGACTTGACTGTTTGGTCAACCACTGAGCAACACCCTTCAGGGCAGCACTGACCCTTTAATTAATTTATTTATTAATTTTAAATATATTTTATTGATTTTGTACGGAGAGGAAGGGAGAGGGAGAGAGAGTTAGAAACATCGATGCGAGAGAGTCATCGATCAGCTGCCTCTTGCACACCCCCTACTGGGGATGTGCCCGCAACCAAGGTACATGCCCTTGACCGGAATCGAACCTGGGACCTTTCAGTCCGCAGGCCGACGCTCTATCCACTGACCCTTTTAAATCCATCTCCTTCCTCCTGGAGACCCTCCCCTCTCCTCGGAGCAGAGCCTTTGAAATAACTTGCTTACCGATCGATAGATCGATGGGCCCTGGCCTCTGGCCGCAGCTGCGAGCCCTCGGGACTGGGTGTCCGGCGCTCCCCTCTCCCCCTCCCGGCGCTTTCAGAACCCATCGCCCCCGGAGCAGCTCGCTGCTTCCCCCTCCGCCCGCTGTCCCGCCGGCCGGAGCGCTCCCTGGCTCCCTGCTCATCGCCACGGGAACGGCGAGTTCCCTGTCCCCGCTGGCCAGGCGTGGACACCAGCCCGTTTCTCCTTCTCCCCCCGCGACAGGCGCATCTCATCGTCCTGGGCGCAGAGCGGTCCGGAGAGGAGGCCGGGGCGTCCGCCCACTGCGTGGCCAGCGCCGCCGCGGCTTCCGGGCGGCCGGAGCACCACGGTGAGAGCCAGCCTCCCGCGGGGGGAGTGGGAGGGTGGATGGCGGGTGCTGCCTGCCGCCCGCCTGGCCTGCACATGTCCGGGCCTTGGGGATGGGCAGGGGGTGGAGCTGAGACGCAGGCCCTGCAGGGAGCGGCCGACAAGGGGACCGGATTGCCTGAGGCCGCCCAGGGCAGGCCGGCTTCCGGGGGCGCCGCGGACAAACTTGGTCTCAAAAGCTCTCCCAGCCCCGCCTGCCAGGGTCAGAAGGATGTGAAGAGGGAGTGGGTGGGAGCCAAGTCCGTGTCAGCGTAAACCTCCCGGAGGCCCAGCCTGGGCGGCCTTGTTTGGAAATGGCCCATCTGCCGCCGCCGGGCGCCAGGGGGCTGGGCAGCGCCGGGCACTTCCAGGCGGACCTGGCTCTGTCCCCTCCAAGCCTCAGGGACGACGGGGTGAGTCCCTGGCTCAGAGGACCAGGCTCCTGAGCGTGGGGTGCATTCTTTTTTTTTTTAAACCCTCACCCGAGGATATTTTCCCATTGATCTTTAGAGAGAGGGAAAAGACTGAAACGTCCATGCAAGAGAAACACATGGATTGGTTGCCTTCTGCACGTGCCCCTGGTGAGGGAGCGGCAGGGAGCGGCCTGCCACCGAGGTACACGCCTTTGACCGGAATCGAACCCGGGACCCTTCGGTCCACGGGGCCGACGCTCTGTCCACTGAGCCACACCGGCCAGGGCTGGGGTGCATTCTTGAGGGACAGCTCCCCGTGCACCAGTATGTTCCCTGCCGCCCCCATGGCCTAGCCTTCCTCAGCCCCTCCTCAAGGCCCATCTCTCATTACAGAATGCCCAGCCAGCCCAAGCCGGTCCTGCCCCTGAGCTCCCCAAGCGGATGTCAGCATCCGTATAGATTTTTTAAAATATATTTTTATGAGTTTCAGAGAGGAAGGAGAGAGAGAGAGAGAGAGAGAGAGAGAGAGAGAGAGAGAGAATATCCTGGATCAGCTGCCTTCTACACGCCCTGCCCCAGCCCTGCAATGCCTCTCTCGGCCTGCCCCGCAGGATCTTAGTGGGTCCTTCGGGGTTCATGCCAAGCTGGGCTCTGAGACTTTCCATCTTCCAATCCCCCGGGGGTCCTTATGCTTCAGCACAGAGCGCAGTCTTTCCCAAGACCATCACAAAGGATCATTGTTGTTGTCGGGTACACACAGCTCTCTTTATGCGCACGCTGCCCGGGGAGTTACAGGAATTGTTTTTGTTTTCATCTATTTTTAAAATATATTTTATTGATTTCAGACAGGAAGGGAGAGGGAGGGAGAGAGAAAGAGAGAGAGAGAGAGAGAGAGAGAGAGAGAGAGAGAGAGAGGGATAGGAACATCCACGATGAGAGAGAATCATGGATCGGCTGCCTCCTGCCCGCCCCCTACATGGGGATCGAGCCCGCAGCCCGGGCCTGCGCCCTGACTGGGAATCGAACCCTGACCTCCCGGTTCCCAGGTTGACGCTCATCCACGGAGCCACGCTGGCCAGGCTACAGGGATTGGCTTTCATGAAAGCCTCCTGCCCTGCCGGGTGCCCAGCCGTGACCCCGCATTCCTCACGCTCTCTGAGTGAAGTCGCACAGACGGAACTGGGTCTGACAGGGCCGTGAGGGGACCTTACACCGCCCCGCCCTGACCCGCAGGCAGTCCGAGGGTTCCTCGGGAGTGGACACGGGAGGAGATTGATGGCCTTGACCTGTGCCCCGAGGGCTCAGGTTTACCGCTAAGCCGTGCTCCTCTGCTTTAGAAAGTGACTCATCCGCTGCCCAGGCCAGCGCCTCAGGTTGCTGAGGATTCTAGAAGAGGTGTTTTTTTCCTAGTGAGAGTTGTGTTTGTTTAAAACATTTTAAAAATACGTCTTTATTGATGTCAGAGAGGAAGGGGGGTGGGGAGAGAGGTAGAAACATCCATGATAAGAGAGAATCATCCATCAGCTGCCTCCTGCACGCCCCCTACTGGGCATTGAGCCCGCAACCGGGCATCGAACTGGCGACCTCTCGGTTCCTGGGTCGACGCTCAACCCGTTGAGCCACACCAGCCGGGAAAGATGCTTACGCTTCAAGAAGGGCTTCATTTCCAACTAGAAAACAGAACTCTCCCCAGCATCCTCCCCTCGTTGGTTTTGAGACGTGGACTGCTGGTGTCGGCAGTGCCTTCAGAGCCAGCAGGAAAAAATGCCGCATCACGCCCCGTTCGCTGTCATCCGATCAGCAACACAGGCAAAGTGAATAGAGTTTGAGCATTAAATTGCGATGAGTCAGCTGCCAGTAAAAGGGAAGGAACGCTTTCCAGGCAGTAGAATTTTCTCCTACCAAGAGAAAAACTGAACCAAGTTCCAGGTTCAGTTCCCGGTCAAGTACCTGGACCTCGGTGGCAGGCTGCACCCCCGGCCTGGTTCAGACTGCATGCAGAAGGCAGCTAACGGATGTCTCTCTCTTGCATCGATGTTTCTCTGTCTCTGTCTCCTTGCCTTCCACTCTCTCTAAAATTCAGTGGGAAAATATTCCCGGGTGAGGATCAACAGAAAAGAAAAGAAAGAGGAGTCTCTTTAAGCCATTACCTTGCATTGCTGCATCCCTGGGAGATCTGGTGTCTGAAAAAAGCGAGGAAAGTAAATATCCTCCTGCGATCGAATCTTTTCCGACAACGCAGGCAGCTGAACGGGCAAACGACAGACCCCTCCACCGGGTTCAGGGCTCCCTTACCCGACTGCTTATTATTTTCAGATAGTTCGCCGCCCCTACAGGCGTCTCCGTGGTTTCCATCTCAAGTCCGAGAGCCGTTTTCACAGTTGTTGTCACGATGCTTTTTGCTTCAGATGTGGCCGATCGGTACTTCCGGGAGAGCCTGGCCCACCTGAGGGACGCGGAAGGGGTGGGGAGAGCCAAGTTCCTCTCGGTTCAGGATGAGTACTGCCATTTTCTGCAAGGCGCCGGGCAGGAGGAGGTGAGCGAGTGTGGGCCGCAGCCGGCCGGCTGTCTGCATGGGCGACCCCGTTGGTACCCAGAGGGCTCTGCAACTCCCTCACTGTGCGAGCATCCAGTAGGCGTCTACTGTGTGCAAGGCATGGATGAGGAAGGCCTTGTGGCCACTATCAGGCAGTGAGTTACATCATTTTCTTTCTTTATATATATATATATATATATATATATATATATATATATATATATAAATAAAAATAAATATATATTTTAGAAAATATATATATTTTCTAGAATATATATATTTTAGAAAAAATTGTCAGTTGTTTTTTTTTAAATATATTTCATTGATTTTTTTACAGAGAGGAAGAGAGAGGGACAGAGAATTAAAAACGTCGATGAGAGAGAATCCTCCATCAGCTGCCTCCTGCACACCCCCCACTGGGGGATGTTCCCACAACCAAGGTACGTGCCCTTGACCGGAATCGAACCTGGGACCTTTCAGTCCACAGGCCGACGCTCTATCCACTGAGCCAAACCGGTTTCGGCTATATGTAATTTTTTTTATTTCAGAGAAGAAGAGGGAGAGAGAGGTGGAAACATCCATGATGAGAGAGAATCCTTGATCGGCTGCCTCCCGCACGCCCCCTACTGGGGATCGGGCATGCGCCCTGACCGGCGATCGAACCCTGCCTCCTGGTTCCTAGTAGGTCCACGCTCGACCACTGAGCCACGCCGGCCGGGCTCCCTCGTTTTCCTAATGGGCCCTGATCCCCGGGGGTCAGCTTTTGAACATTTTTTTTTTTAAATATATTTTATTGATTTTGTACAGAGAGGGAGAGAGATAGAAAGCTAGAAACATCGATGAGAGAGAGTCATCGATCAGCTGCCTCTTGCACACCCCCTACTGGGAATGTGCCTGCAACCAAGGTACATGCCCTTGACCGGAATCGAACCCGGGTCCCTTCAGTCCCCAAGCCGACGCTCTATCCACTGAGCCAAACCGGTCTCGGCAGCTTTTGAACATTTTTAACCAGACCGCTTTGCGTTCCTTTCCCAGAGAGCGACCTCGATCCTCAGGGGGTCCCTGGAGGCCAAAGTGAGGGTGTTTGGCGACGTCAGTCCCGAGGTGGCAGAGACCTACCGGCTCCTGAGTGGCGCCGACCTGGCCCAGGGGAACCACAGCGGGGCCTACAAGAAGCTGAACAAGGTAAGCCTGAAGCCGACACTGATGCAGAGAGAAGCCCTCCACCCTCCCTGTTTCCCCTCCCTCCCTCCCTATGGGTCACCTTCTCTCCCTTCCCATGCTCTCTTTATTTTTATATATTTTTTTAAAAATATACTTATTGATTTCTGAGAGGATGGGAGAGGGAGAGAGAGATAGAAACATCCGTGATGAGAGAGAGTCATGGATCGGCTGCCTCCTGCATGCCCCCCAGTGGGCACAACCCAGGCAGGTGCCCTGACCGGGAATTGACCCATGACCTCCTGGTTCATAGGTTGATGCTCAACCACTGAGCCATATCGGCCAGGCCACTATGCTCTTTTTAAATAGGCCTTTCTAAGTGGTTTATTTAGGCAAGGTGACTTCGCTTTCACAGTCGGTCTAAACTAACCCTGTTTTTTCGGTAAAAGCTACAGCAATCCTCTCATACACATATGTATATATCTTTTTACTGAATTATCCATTATTTTCGCCATGTAAAAACATTTTTTTAATTTTTATGGAGTGCAAATGTATCTTCTATTTTATTGTACTCTCTCTGTGCACACAGTTTATAGAGGAATGTGTTTGTGTTCTTCTAGTACTTTGTATATTTAGTTCTTTTTTTATTTGAATGTACTGGGGTGACATTGGTTAATAAAATGATCTAGGTCTCAGGGGTACAGTTCTGTAATGCATCATCTGGCTATTGTATTGTGTGGTCACCCCAAGTCAAGGCCCTTTCCATCATCAGTTTCTTCTTGAGTTTGGAGTTCATTTGCTTGGATGGTGTGAGGTACGGGTCTAATGTTATTTATTTATGTGTTTATTTTCTAAAATGGCTAGCCAGTTGTCCAGCACCGTTTTGTTAAAGAGCCCAGTGGTGTGAGAACACACCTTCACCGTATATACCACATTTCTACGTGAACTTGAGTCTCTGGATGTCTCTCCCGCTCCACTGACAGCTTTGTTTGCGTGAATGCTGGTTCCTCGTTGGTTTTATTTATTTATTATTATTATTATTATTTTTAATATATTTTATTGATTTTTTTACAGAGAGGAAGGGAGAGAGATAGAGAGCTAGAAACGTCGATGAGAGAGAAACATCGACCAGCTGCCTCTTACACACACACCCCCACTGGGGATGTGCCTGCAACCCAGGTACATGCCCTTGACCGGAATCGAACCCGGGACCTTTCAGTCTGGAGGTCGACACTCTATCCACTGTGCCAAACCGGTTTCGGCTCGTTGGTTTTAAATGTAGAGATTTCGTAGCTCATGGTCCAGTAGCGGGGAGGACTAGACACCAGGAGCGGTGTCTCTGACTCTGGAATATCCCATTTCCCAGGTGTTCTGGCACGTGTTGTTGTTGTTGTTTTTGTTGTTGTTTTCTTCCCCGTGAATTTTAGTGTTAACAGCCTGTCTCGCTGGATACAAAGCTTGGTGGTATTTTCTGGAGGATCGTGTTGTTTGTAAATGACCTTAAGGAGCACTGACATCTGAATGGTGTGGAGTCATTTTACTCAGGAGCAGGGATGTCCTTACACTTGTTGACATCCACTTTTGCATCAGGGCAGGCCCATTTTTTAAAGTGTCCCTTCATCCTGGGTGTTGCCCTTTTCTGACCACATTGATTTCTAAGCATTTTACCTTCTTTCATACTGTTGTCTGCAGGGTGGTATCCGCTGTTACGGGCATGTGACCGGTCCTTTCTGTGTACGTGAAGGCGGCTGGTTTCTCTGTTAATTTTATGTGCTGGGCCTGCTTGCTCAATGCTTTTCCTGCCGAAGTTAATTTTGAGCCTTCTCTCGGGTTTCCAGGGCAGATCCTGTTACATCATCTGCAAATCTTTTTACTTTCTGGTTTTCAGCTCTGGGGGCGCTGCCTGATTTCTCGTCTGCTCGCATTGGTTCCCGCCTCCAGGACAATAATGAATGGGAGTGGGGATGGCAGGCACCCTTGTCTTGTCCTCATCTCAGTGGACATGCCTCTAGTGAGTCTAATTAGAAATAAGTGTTGGATTTTATCAAATTTTTTTTTTTAGCATCCGTGGAGATAATCAGATGACTCTTCTTAGATCACTTAACATGGTGTATTTTATTCTAGTATTCAACCAACCTTGCATTCCTGGAACAAATGTGCATAGTGATATTGAATTATATTCTTAATATGAGGTAGATTCGGCCTGAGAATATTTATTTTTATCATCTTTGCACCAGTGTTTATAAGTGACATTTAAGTATCAATGCTATTATTTGCTTCATAAAAATAATATGGAAGCTTACCTTTCTTTTCTTTTCTTTTCTTTTTCTTTTTTAACTTTTTTATGGAATGTATTGGGGTGACGGTTCTATAATGCATCATCTGTGTATTGTATTGTGTGTTCACCACCCCAAATCAAGTCTGTTGAATAAGTAGTCCTGAAAAAGAGGGTAGCCTGGGGGAGAGCCGCATCCCCAGGTTGGAAATGGGGTGGAAGAGGAGGCGGGCGGGGATGAGGGGCTGGAGAGTACACGCCATTGAAGAAGCAGAGAGTGACTGGGGAGGACTGTCTGTCAGGGGGCACCCGGAAGCCATGGGCGGGGCTGGGGGGGGGGGAGTTCCTAGGTGAAGGGGCCCAGACTTGATCCTTCAGGTGACTGTCCCAACGATGGGCTCTGAGGCCGAATCCAGCCCACTCCCGGCTCTCCTATGGCCCACGAGGTTACTCTTTTATTAGTTTCTTTTTATAAATATATTTTTTTATTGGATTTCAGAGAGGAAGAGAGAGGGAGAGCGAGAGAGAAACATCAATGATGAGAGAGAATCATGGATCAGCTGCCTCCTGCACGTCAGGCCCGCAACCCGGACATGTGCCCTGACTGGGGTGACCTCCTGGATCTTAGGTCAGCGCACAACCACTGAACCACCCCGGCTGGATGTGGAGGGGAATCCTGCCGTGCCCCCATGATGCATCTGTCCTCTGACCATTTGTGTTGCAGCTGTGCTGGAGAAGGATGGTGGTAGCTTGCTCCAAGACAGTGGCCAGGGGATGGAGCAGAGTCGTGGGGGAGTCGAGGGGTGTCGATAAGGATAGAGAGCTCACGGCACTTGGCAACACAGAGGTGAGGAGTGAGGGTGGCACCCAGGCTTTCCAGGCCCGGGAAGAGCAGCGGAGTGAGTGGCACTGCCTACCCCCCCCACCACCACTTTCTCACTCATCGCCATGTCCCTCCTTGTTCCCGCCTTACCTGTTCCTCTCATGCACAGCTCAGAGTTAGTGCTCCCCCAGGTAAGGGGGCTGCAGGGGTGCGTGTGCATGAGAGAGACGGAGAGAGGAGGGGGGGGAGATACACCTGCCTGAAACTCCACGCCCACCCCCTCCTCCCCATGGTGCCGCTCACCTGCTGACCCCCCCCCCCCGCCCCATTTGGGGGTCTGACCCAGGTACCCTCTGCCACCACCGACATCCTCCTCGGTTTATTTTCACAGCCCGTATTCCTTTTTCCTTTTTTTTTTTTTTTTTTTTTAATTATTTAAGATTCACCTGGATACTCAGGATTTCAGGGCTATGTCCACTTAAAGAAAAGTGAGAAACCTCCCCCCTCCAGGCTGGTTTCCAACAGGGTTTTTCCCCGGAGGAACGGAGAAAGCCCAGAAAACCTTCCCCGCGGCCGGCCGGGGGTGTGCTCCCGCAGGGGCTTGGGGCCTGAGGTCACTGTTTGATAGAAGACTCAAAACATGACCCTCAGGAAGGAAGTGCCCGCTCCTGCCCCTGCCCGCCCCGTACTGGGTGACTGCTACCCTGCATTTGACATCATTCCCGCGCTGTATTTTACTGTGGTTTTTCTCTACGTGTTTTTTTAAGCTTCCCATAAAATGTGCATATTTTATCTATATAATTTGCATTCATCTGCAATTTGCTCTTTCCTGCCTATCATCATGAGATTCATCTACATGGACACACACACACCAAACATGTATATCACACATATACAATCCATGGGCATGTTACAGGTTACTCATCCATTAGCCCAGTGGTCGGCAAACCGCAGCTCATGAGCCACATGCGGCTCTTTGGCCCCTTGAGGGTGGCCCTTCCACAAAATACCACGGCCTGGGCGATCTATGTTGAAGAAGTGGCGTTAGAAGTTTAAGTTTAAAAAATGTGGCTCTCAAATTTTAATCGTACTGTTGATATTTAACTCTGTTGATTCATGAGTTTGCCGATGGCTGCCTTAGCCGAGTTACTGAATGACTCTCTCAGTCTGTACAAAGGCGTGCTTGCTCATTTGTTTCTTTGACAGGCCTTGGATTTGGCCATTGTCAAGTGGTTCCTTTTGCAATCCGACAGGTGAAGGGCGCCCTCAGAGAGCTTTTCGGTGGTTTCTGGTTGCCTGTGAGATCGGGCGTGCTCAGCCGCTGTTCTGTTTTTCAAGGTCTTTGAATAATCCTTTCCTATCTTGCGATCCCTTTTCCATGGGGAGGTTGTGTTCGTGTCTCTCGTTACCTTGTGCAAGTTCTTGGTCTCTTCTGCCTGCTGATCCTTTCTCCTCTGCTTTGGGCAGTGTCTCCTTCCCCTCCTCCCCCATCCAATCCGTATACTTTGCTTAAGGTGAATTCTGGTGCATACATGTTTTCATTTTTGAATGTTCAATGTAGTTAAATTTTATAAATCAGCCGAAACCGGTTTAGCTCAGTGGATAGAGCGTCGGCCTGCGGACTCAAGGGTCCCGGGTTCGATTCCGGTCAAGGGCCTGTATCGTGGTTGCGGGCACATCCCCAGTAGGGGGTGTGCAAGAGGCAGATGATCGATGTTTCTTCCTCATCGATGTTTCTGACTTTCTATTCCTCTCCCTTCCTTTCTGTAAAAAATCAATAAAATATATATTTTTAAAAAAATTTTATAAATCAAATCTTTTAGTTTGTCCAGATATTATCCAAGAACTACTTCTGATCTTGTCCAGGAACTACTTCTGCATAAAGGTCATCTCCAATATTTTCCCCTAAAAGTTCCAAGTCTTGCATTTCTTATTTAGCTCTTCCACCAACCTGGATTCCTTGCTGGGCGTGGCAGGAGGCAGGGGTCCATTTCCTCCTAGTTCCATCCATTGACGAGCTCAGCTCTCCCTTGTCGGCCCCTCAAGGTCACTTCTCTCCTGTCATCTGTCATGCTGGACCCTCTGCCACGTCCCGTTGGCCTACTTGTCTGCTCAGGATGAGAAAGCGCTGCCTTCATTGCTAGAGTTTCATGAAGATAGTGACGGGAAATCAGTTCCCTCCACTTCATTCCTCTTCAAAATTACTTTGCCCGTTTGGGGGTACAGATTGAATCTTTAGCTTCCCCTTGAGATTGCCCTGGCCAGCTGCAAGCAGGGATAATGGCGGGATAATAAGCAGAATAAAGCTGAATGTTTTAACTCCTCAATAAGTGACTCCCTAGGAGATTGCTGTGTAGTCATGATTACAGAAAGCCCATAGAAAATAGAACAATAGTTTATTGATTTTGGGAGAGAGAGAGGAAGGGAGAAGAGGGAAGCATCGCCGTGAGAGCATAACGTGCATCGGCTGCCTTCTGCACACCCCCTTACTGGGGATCGAGCCCACACCCCGGGCGTGTGCCCTGATCTGGGAATCAAACCGGCAACTTCTGGGTGCACAGGGCGACGCCCAACCAACTGAGCCACGCTGGGCAGGGCACACACTTTATTATTATTTTTTTTTTTTTTTTTACTTGTCTGGGCTGTAGCAAGGGTCATTCGAAAATAGAAACTGGACACCATCCTCTCATGAATACCAATTCTTTGCCTTTATTTGTAAAAATAGATACTTTTGAAACATGTTTTTGCATACAGGTTGTCACAGAGGGTTCTATGACAGTGCTAGCACTGTACACTTGTTTCCAGGATCCCTCGGAACATCCAAGTTGAAGGTCAGACGGTCCCTGGCATTCACAGTGAAGGTCAGATGGTCCCTGGCATTCACAGTGAAGATCAGATGGTCCCTGGCATTCATATGGAAGGTCAGACAGTCCCTGGCATTCATATGGAAGGTCAGATGGTCCCTGGCATTCACAGTGAAGGTCAGACGGTCCCTGACATTCACATTGAAGGTCAGACGGTCCCTGACATTCACATTGAAGGTCAGACGGTCCCTGGCATTCACAGTGAAGGTCAGACGGTCCCTGGCATTCACAGTGAAGGTCAGACGGTCCCTGGCATTCATATGGAAGGTCAGACGGTCCCTGGCATTCACAGTGAAGGTCAGACGGTCCCTGGCATTCATATGGAAGGTCAGACGGTCCCTGGCATTCATAGTGAAGGTCAGACGGTCCCTGGCATTCACAGTGAAGGTCAGACGGTCCCTGGCATTCACAGTGAAGGTCAGACGGTCCCTGGCATTCACAGTGAAGGTCAGACGGTCCCTGGCATTCACAGTGAAGGTCAGACGGTCCCTGGCATTCATATGGAAGGTCAGACGGTCCCTGGCATTCACAGTGAAGGTCAGACGGTCCCTGGCATTCACAGTGAAGGTCAGACGGTCCCTGACATTCACAGTGAAGGTCAGACGGTCCCTGACATTCACAGTGAAGGTCAGACGGTCCCTGGCATTCGTAGTGCAGGTCAGACGATCAGACGGGCCTGCGACTGAAGCAGTCTCTCCTGTTCTCGGGAGCCTCGTCCTGCTGCTGCGTGCTCTCCGTGACGTTCCCCACCCTCACGGTGACTGCTTGGTGTCCTGCAGTGTCTCCAGATTCAGACCCTCTTGTACGGACCACAGGACCGGCGGACGCTGGCCACCCAGCAGGCCCTGGACGTGCTGTCCAAGTGAGTCACTGACACTGTTCCCTCACTGTTCCCTGGGCACCTCGCTCCCTGGAAGCCGGTCTGTGCCTCCGGGAACTGTCGGTGCGTGGAAAGCCATACCAGCTTCCTGTTACTCACACCATGCAAGACCAGCTCCTTGGCCATGAAATACCCTCCTTGCCCCAGTCCTGAGGAGGAATTAGCTCTTGAAACAGGAGCTGGGATGCATCTTCCTGCCGGCCGACCAGCCGCCTGCAGGCCGCCTGCAGGCCACCTGGTCTTTCCGGGGGATGCTGGCTCCCAGCACTGCCTGGGCCCACTGGAACCTGCCCGGGGCTCAAGATGGGAGCCCGAGAGCCCTCTGACTTCACCCACGTTTTTCTTTTCTTTAAGATTTAAATTCTGATTATATTGTGTTTTTTAATGTGTTTGTTTGTTTGTTTGTTTTGATTTTCAGAGAGGAAGAGAGAGGGAGAGAGAGAAGCATCAATGATGAGAGAGAATCATTGATCGGCTGTCTCCTCCATGAAATCTAACCGGGAGCTGCCGGGCTGTCCCACAGCAGCCGGGGCGGGGGGACGCGGGCGGGGGACGCGGGGCGGGGGTCCCAGAGGCGCCCCACTCACCGCCCTCCGCTTGCTCGCAGGGCCCCCGAGATGGCCACCGTGAAGCTGAGATCGGCCTCGAGAGCGAGAGCCAGAGCCAAGCCGGCCTTCTGCACCGGCAAGGCCCAGCATGCAGCGCCCTGGAGGGCCAGGCCCCACGCGGCGGACTGAGACGCGCACCGCACCCCGAGGACAGCTGGGCAGGCCCGGGCGCCGGCTGCACAGCCCCCTCCCCCACCGGGAGGTGGCGCCAGCGGGCACCGTGCCGGTCCTGAGGCAGGCCGGGGCCCCACGTCTCCGGGCCCCGCTGGCAGGGCATGGCCGCGGCCCCCGGTGCTCCCATAAGCAGCTTCCTCGTTACCTCCGAAGCGGTTCTTTGTGCCAACCAACGCCTTTCCCCATCAGCACGCTCCTCTCCAGGAGGTCAAGGCTTCCCACCTCACTGCGCACACAGCCCTCAGCCCCGGTCGGGGGTCCAACTTGGAGTCCAGTTCTGGAAAAACTGGGACTTTCTCACAGGAAGGCGATGGGATGGAGAATAAAACACTGGCAAAAGGAGCATGAAGGTGCCGGAGTCGGTATGTGTGGGTGGTGCTTCCTCTCTCTCCCCACCGTCCCCCTCCGCTTTTCCTGGGCTGCAGGCTGGCGCCCTCACCCCAACCCACTGCGGTTCCGTCTGTGACAGACGCCACCTCAAGAATCCACGGGGAGCCAAAACCGGTTTGGCTCAATGGATAGAGCGTTGCCCTGTGGACTGAAAGGTCCCGGGTTCGATTCCGGACAAGGGCATGTACGTTGGTTGCAGGCACATCCCCAGTAGGGGGTGTGCAAGAGGCAGGTGGTCGATGTTTCTCTCTCATCGACGTTTCTAGCTCTCTATCTCTCTCCCTTCCTCTCTGAAAAAAAAATCAATAAAATATATTTAAAAAAAAAAAAAAGAATCCACGGGGAAAACAAAGATCCGAGTGACAGGGTGCAGGGAGGCAGGGTCCCTGTCCTCCTCAGGGGTGTGACAGCGACCACACACCCCTCTCACACCCGCGCGCCCGCCCCAGACGAGCCTGTGGCATGGGGGCCGAGTGGGAAGAAGGGGAAAGAGGCAGTCACCACTCCCATCTCCTGCCACCAGGCTCCCTGGCCGTGACGGGGACATTCTTACCGGAAACCAGTCCATATTTGAGCACCAGCCACCAGGCCCCCCCCCCCCCCCCCGCCCCGTCAGCCACGCCTTCTAGCTCTGTGTTGACCGACCGGGTCAAGTCGTGGCTGGATTAAAGAACGGGGGGGTTTTCACGTGGTTCTGCCGTGGTTCCTCATGAAAAGCACGCGTGTGAACACACGTTTTCATTCGTGTTCACATAGGAAACACACCCCCCCACCCCCCACCAGAGAACATTCATTCTCTCGCGTGGCAATGCCAGGGTTTGTTTATTTTTTTTTTCTTAGGTTTTTATTTTTACACATTCACTTGTGACATTTCCCTTCGTGGGGAACAGGAGGTTGGTTAGCAAGGCAAGCCTTTCCGAGGAGGCCATTCTCAGTGTGCATTTTAACCGATCTCGAAACAGCAACAGGAAGGTGAGACGCAGTCCGAGAATACTATGACAGCGAAACAACAATGAATCGAAGAGCGTGTCCTCGCCCCAAAAGCCATGCTCTCTTATTCTCCACTTACCCGTGACGGAGACCAACGCCCTAAACCAGTGGTCAGCAAACTGCGGCTCGAGAGCCATATGCGAGCCAGAACTCTTTGGCCCCTTGAGTTTTTAGCAAAGGCCAGCTCAGGAGTGCCCTAATGAAGTTAATAACGCTGAACCTACCTCTATAGTTTAAGTTTAAAAAATTTGGCTCTCCAGGCCAAAACCGGTTTGGCTCAGTGGATAGAGCGTCGGCCTGCGGACTGAAAGGTCCCAGGTTCGATTCCGGTCAGGGGCATGTACATTGGCTGCAGGCACATCCCCGGTAGGGGGTGTGCAAGAGGCAGCTGATCGATGTTTCTCTCTCATCGACGTTTCTAGCTCTCCCTCTCTGTAAAAAATCAATAAAATATATATATATTTTTAAAATGTGGCTCTCCAAAGAAATTTCAATCGTCATATTGTTGATATTTGGCTCTGTGGACTAATGAGTTTGCCGACCATTGTGCTAAACGTTCCCAGGCAGGACTCATGCCTGGATTGTGGGCTCTATTCCCACTAGGGGGCGTGCAGGAGGCAGCTGATCCATGGTTCTCTCCCATCAATGTTTCTCTCTCTCCCTCTCTGAAATCAGTAAAAATATATTTTTAAAAAATGAAATGCCGCAACAGCTACCCTCTCCATAAATAAAACGCTCTATTTTCTAAAAGTCTGCACAGAGAATGCAATTCATTCAAGTCTTGCAGTAGGTTTAAACTCTAAGACGTGTAACTTTTTCCTAAAGATGGAATCACGTAGATTTCTCTTCAAGTGAGCCATCTGCTTATCTCCTACGATTTCTTTCTGAAAAGACTCCAGAAAGAGAAAAGTGCATTGTTTTGTTTTGTTTTTTGTGTTTGTTTTTTTTACAAGGTTAGTAGACTATTTCTTAGTAGCACATGCAAAGATAAAGTTCTCTGTACTATGTAACTCTTGTCCATAAGGCTGCCAGTTCGGCAGCTTTACCTAAAGGTAGAGGTGCAAACTGTGTCTGTGACCAGGTGCAAACTGGTGCAAACCATCCCCAGGAGCAAAAACTCCAGGGAGAGAAAAAAAAAGAAAAAAGGAACTTTTAAGCCCAGCCGGTATGGCTTGGTAGTTGAGTGTCAACTTATGAGCCAGAAGGCACCTGTTCAACGCACAGGTTGTGGGCTCAGTCCCCAGTGTGGGGTATGCAGGAGGCAGCCGATCAGTGACTCTCTCCCATCACTGATGTCTCTATCTCTCTTTCTCCCTCTTTGAAATCAATAGAAATATATTAAAAACAAAAAAATACAGCCCTGACTGGTTTAGCTCAGTGGATAGAGAGCCTCAGCCTGCAGACGGAAGGGTCCCAGGTTCGATTCCTGTCAAGGGCATGTACCTTGGTTGAGGGCACATCCCCAGTAGGGAGTGTGCAGGAGGCAGCTCTCTCATCGATGTTTCTATCTCTATCTATCCACTCCCTTCTTCTCTGTGAAAAAAAATCAATAAAAATACTTTTTTTTTTTTTAAATACCAACTTTTAAGACTATAGCAATAAACAGTATTTTTGAAAAGCCCCCAACTCAAAGATAAAAAAAAAAAAAAAAACCTCCGGTGCCTTTTAAGACATACATTCATTCCTTCAACACCTTTCCAGGCTGCAAAGAAAGTTGACCTCCCCTGGCGTCGTCCTCTTTGGAGAAATTAAAAAAGAAAGGGGAGGCTTCAGAACAGAGAGGGCACTCTTTCCGCTCCCCACCCATCAGCCCACCCCCACTTGCAGTGCAGCCACGGCCTCTGCGTGTGGGTATACGTGACGAAGCCGAGTACCATCGGACGCAAGGACGTCACGTCCTCAGAACCAGTGTCCGTCGTCCTCGTCCGCCTGGCGGTCCAGGTAGACCACGGCTACTTTCTTCTCGTCCGAAATCACCGACCGCTGGTCCACCATCCTCTGCAGCTGCACCGTCCGGTCGAACCCGGCCTGCTCCTGGGAGGCGGCCACGCCGGCCGCCCCGTCCGGCTCCCGGCCGGCCTCTCTCCGCGTAGTGCTGTGAGCGTCCCCTTCCGTGCCCGTGGCGAACAGGACCGTGGTCTCTCGGGCCCAGCGGGGGGCCCCCGCCGGGGGACTCGCGTCCATCTGAAAGGTAAAACGCGGTTCCTTTGGGGCCCAGTACCCCCTGCCGCGGTGTCCTGCTGCCTGCGGACTCGCCTAGCTCCTCAGGGAAGCAAGCCCACAGGACCGGCCAGGGCCGATGTCTTAGAAATGGGCCGGTGTGGCTCAGTGGATAGAGCGTCGGCCTGCGGACTGAAAGGTCCCGGGTTCGATTACAGTCAAGGGCATGGACCTTGACTGGGGAAAAACATCCCCAGGGGGAGGTGTGCAGGAGGCAGCTGATGAATGTTTCTCTCTCATCGATGTTTCTAGCTCTCTATCCCTCTCCCTTCCTCTCTGTAAAAAATCAATTTAAAAAAATTATATTTATTTATTTATTTATTTATTTTTAATATATATGTGGGCCCACAGAAGGCAGCATGCTCAGAGGTTTGTGTTTCTGGAAGACCTCGGTGCCTAAAGGATCTGCTCATGCCCAGCTGGCGATGGCTCAGTGGTTGAGCATTGACCTGTGAACCACGGGGTCAGGGTTTGATTCCCGGTCAGGGCACAGGCCAGGTTGCGGGCTCGATCCTCAGTCGGGGGGCGTGCGGGAGGCAGCTGATCGATGATGCTCTCTCATCGATGGTTCTAACTGTCTATCTCTCTCCCTTCCTCTCTGTAAAAAAAAAAAAAAAATCAATAAAATATATTAAAAAACAAAACAACAACAGTGGGCTCCCTCGGAACTGGCCGCCCGGCCCCAGCCACCTTCCCCACTCACCTGTCCTGCAGGCGGTCCCTCGGAGGCGACCTGCTCGGTCCTCCAGACCCCAGAGGGGCCTATCTTCACGCGTCTGACGGACGAGCTGACGTCCTCCAGCACGTGCGAGCGGGCAAAGCCCCGGGGGCTGGTGACCTCCACGGTGGCGGACACGGGGCCCTGCATGGCGGTGATGGTCTCTGAGCTGTGGGAGGCCCAGCCGGCGTCCTCTTCCTCCTCCTCCTCCCCTCCGACGGAGGCGCGGTACAGCTCCTGGGTGGCCCAGCGCTTGAAGCCGTAGCCGGTGGCCGGTGCCGGCCCTCCCGCGTCCCCGTCCGGGCTCCCGGGACCCGGGCTGCGCCGCTTGGCCAGGCTGTCCCGCACCACGGCCTCCACCGCCCGCTCAATCTCGCCCGCCTCGTCTTTGCTCAGCTCCTCCAGGTCCAGCTGGTCGGTGTCCACCGTCTGGGACAGGTTGACCTCGGCCACCAGGGTCATGGCCCCACCGCCCGAGGGCTGGACCTTCCTCACGTCCACGGAGAGGTGGCCCAGGCCGGCCCGGTCCTGGCCGGCGAGGGCCGACAGCTCCTCCCGCACCCGCTCCGGCAGGCTCTCCTCCAGCTGCCCCAGCGCCTCCGCCAGCTGGTGCCGGGGCTCCTTGAAGTCGCGGCTGATGGACGAGTGGAACCGGTGCGGGATCTTGATCTCCTTGTCGGTGACCGTGGCCTCGGCGCGGACCTCGCCGCTGGTGGTCTCCTCGATCCAGTGCGGGGAGCCGGCGGCCTCCGGCTCCGGGGGAGATTCCGGGGCGTCCGCCGCCACCGTGGTCTCCCCGCCCCACGGGGGCCCCGCGAACCTCCTCCCGGATGCCGGCACGATCTCGTCCTGCCAGGAGTACCGGATGGTGGACTCCTCTTCGATGTGGATCTGCCCGTACGCCGAGCCTCCCGCAGCCCTGGTGGCCCCGTCCCGCCCGAAGCCGCTGCGTTCCTCGGGGCCCTCGTCCGGGGTGGACACGAAATAGCTCTGCTGCTCCTCCTCCTCCTCCTCCGAGTCGCCC